CTGTAAGACCAAAGAAACCTCCTGGGCTGATACGCTGGGCCCATAACCCTATGTTGGGGTTATGAAATGTTAATTCAAAACCCATGAGGAGGAAAGAGGATTCATTCATTCCTACCTCGTGGAGAGCCGTGAGGAGAAGAGTAGGAAAAATGAGGGAAGAAGGAAAAAAGCTGGGATCCAAGCCCCTCCCACATAAAGCAGCAAAGCTAGGCCGCAGCTAAGCCACCCCTCCCTTTGTGCTCCTGTGAGACAGGCTTGGTTGAAACCCCATATTTTCCAACAGAGATGAGGTGGAGGTCTTTTCCACAGGTCTAGTTTGGCCTAACTCTTATCTGCCTCTTCCTAGAACCATGATTTGCAGTTCCATTATATTATCATTGGGTATCAGGAGTGGGAAATGGCCTAATTTCCTGCAGACATCAGCATAATTTAGCTCTCTGAATGCTTTAAATCTTCTGTACCATAACGATGTGCACGAGTAAATAATGAACACAGCTTAGAGAAAAACAGCTATATCACTGTGGTCTCTAACTCTGCCCTTTATCATCTGTAGCCCCCAACTGACTTTCTGGGGGTCAACAGTGCCTAGAATTTATTTTCCTCTTAACTTCACTCCTCTGTTTCTTTTGCTTACTAATATCTTCAACTAAATAAACTTGGATGCTGACAGAAATGGCTTATTTAAATGTAGTCAGTAAATGCTATAGCTTCCAGGCAAATCTCAGTTTGGAACTGTCGAGTATCAATAGAATTAAATGAGTGAACGAACAGGCAGAGTACCAGGCTTATAATGATATTCCATGTCTCTGTAAACATCAGAGAAAAGTATTATGATCAAGCTGCATATTTTCCTTTTCTTCCTCAGTATAGCACACTTTCTTTTCATCCTATATATCTAATTCAATTTGGATTATTACCCTGTAAAGATAAATTACCTCAAAATATCTCAGATACTCCATCTCATTAGAAAAATAAATGTCCTGCTGCACAGAAAACAAATGGGATATGCTAATTTAGTACATTCCATTTACATATTTGTAATTTAAGCTGCTTTTCCAGCCAGTAAAAAAACTCATTAGCAACTAACTACCTTAAAAAGCTACTTTAAGAAGAATAGCAGGCCACAGGGTGTTCATTAAATAGATTTTGTTTTGTTTTGAACCCAAAACAAACCATTGCATTGTAAACTTTCTGCCAAACCATTTGGGCCAGTCGTGGTTCAGTCAAAACAAAACCCAGAATGTTTGCGTGGTTCCAGTTCAGATAAAACAAAATGCAGATGGGATGATGATGATGATGATGATATTTTAATATAGCAGTCCACTTCAGAAGACTCTAGGTAGCTTATAAAATATAATACTAGATTAAAACAAGTAGGGCAAGGCTGGTCCCTGCAACCCCTCTTTCTCCTCAGCAGCTGCCAGCATGGCATAACTCCCCGGCCCAGCCCCCCATCATCTTCCCAGTGTCTCCCTTCCCTCAGTAAGCTGTCACAGAGGGGCATAACTCATCAACCCCCCCCCCCCCAAATATTCTCAGTGTGAAAGTTAGTTCTCATTCAGACAAAAATAAAAAATCTGATATCGGATCTGGGTGCTACCTAAACAAAGAAAAGATGGAAACTCCTAAAACAGTAATGTTTATAGTCCTTTACACAGAATAGGCAGGGGAAACAGATGCAAAACATCTGAACACTGATTGTTATAAAGAGAACTTGAAGCTGATATTTTTTAAGTTTTCTACAATACAATCCACTTGTCAGAGGTTCTTTGACTCTTGTGCGCCTGTTTAATTGTATCCAGTCCAGAACTTGACATCCACCTCTTTCCTTTCCTTCCTCCTTCAGCCATCACCAGTGTTGCAGTGTCATATCCCATTTGCCCACCTGTCCTTGATCTTCCCAGTAATTTCTCCCTTTCCCTTCCTCCCCTCAACTGCTGTGGCTGCTGTGGTTCTGGCTTCCCCCAACTCTTCCTCCTTCCCAAACCACTTCTGCCCAGAACAGACCCATTTTGACCCATGCCCTTGCCCAAACAGTCCCATTTTGTTCTTAGCACAGCCCCCAAAACCTGAAACATACATATTTCAGTGTGGCCATGGACCATGCAGAAATAATTCTATGTATGGAACATTTTATATATTCTTAGTGATCCAGTACCTCAAGGCACCCCTCTTATGACAGCTACCAATTTATGCAGTTTTAACTATTAGAAGGTTAGAGCACATACCTATAGCCCATGAAATAAGCCTCAATGAACTCAATGGAATTTACTTCTGAATAGACTTCTATAGGAGTATTATTACTTTCATCTTGTTGTGTAATCTCTTTATAAGAGTTGAAGAAGCTCACTGCTAAATATTAATTAGGATACATCACCACTTTGGAGAATAGATATCTGTCCAATGATCCAGGAAGTAGCATATTATGAAATAATTATTTTATGTAACAATCATCTGAAACCTTCAAACTTTCATTAGTATTGGCTACAGATGTCCTGTCTATAGCTTTTATGTCTGTTGCATTCTTAGTGAGAAAATAGTATGTTCTCAAGATTCATAAATACTTCTGATTAAATCAGAAGTAGGGTCATTAGAATGAATAAGTGAAGATATTGGCATTTTCCCCACTTCTAAATGATACCCATTAAGCCAATGCTTTTTAATATATATATATAAATAAAAGGAAAACTGCATTCTGAAACACTCTGCAAAGAGAAGTG